GTATTAAATAAAGTTATGCTGGTATGATTTAAATTGTGTCAAGATTTAGATTTCAATAAAACGATAAAAATAAATACATTATAATACAATATTAACAAAAAAAAGTTACGTTGGTCTACTCAGTGAAAAGTAATATATTACATGACTGCTCCCAGGTTAATTCATACCTGAAGAAACTTGCAATATTTTTACAGTATTTAAAAATACAGAGTATTCAGTGAATTTGACAGATCAGGTCTGGTAAAAAAAAAAAACGTCTTAAGATGAATAAACATGTATTATTAATAGTATGGAAGTTACTGTCTAAGTCTGTCATTTAATCAAAGTGAAATATTATACAAACTGATAGAATATGCTCAACAACAAACTAAGTAATACTTCCGTAGTTTAGCTGAAAGATGAAAACACATACTTTTCTAATGTACACCATGTGAATGTATTATATGAACAGAAGCTTTTGGACACGCTAATTTTGTTCATTGAAAATTGTCATAACCGAAGATAAATTTCTCTCCGGATTGTTAGCAAACATGTTAAGAACTAAAAACCGAAAAAATGATGAATCTAAGAAGTTGTTAACCACCATAAATCTTACCCTTCATGATCGTCTGCAGAGTCAAATTCCTTGGTGATATCGTATCTAGTACAATAAATACAAATTTAACGTTTCATCGTTTTATTCTATTCAACGTTCATTTAAAATAATAGGACAAAATTTTTAAAAGGGATGTTAAGATTTTCAGTCTCTTCGATTAATGATTTAATGCTAATATAAGGAAGAAAATAGGTCATACAATACACTTAAACGTGTTCAACTCAATTCCGATAGAATGAGCAAGCAGGCACTGGCAATAAAAACAATTAGGACGAAATATGAAACACTATTTTTGAACATTTTTTTTCAATAAGTAATAAGATAAATAAAATATATCCTCAAATTTTTGTTTATATAAGTTCTTAGAAGTGAATAAAAACAATTTCAAATTGAGAATTTCCAAGTATCCTATATTTGATTTAATTTAATCAGACTGAAAAATTTGGGATAAAATGACGATGTTGCCACCAAGGTACTTAAGATGAACACATTTAGTCTGACGCCTGACCCTAGTAATGGAGTCAAATTGAAGCTTGGATATTGGTATAGATCACCTCGTTAATAAATGTTATAAAGAATGTCAGAGGTAAAGGAAATAATATATTTTATGCTATTTACTTTGGAAGTCATTTATATTGAGTTCTATTCTACTATATAAATGTAAACTAAGGTGTATATCTGTCTCTTATACACATCTAGATGTGTATAAGAGACAGCAATGGCATATAGTTACAACAGTAATAACAATGGTTGTTTATATATTACCATATACATATTTATTATTAATACCAGCAAAAATATTTGGATACTTATTATTGGTTGATCAAAAATATTAATAATTATGGGAATTCAAATAAAAATAACTGAAAAAAGTAAATATTAATGACAGATTTTAGTAGTTATGTTAATCATAACTTTGTATTTTATTCACTTTTAGTATAAATAATGGGTAGCCTGTCTTAGTGACAATTGTTATGTTTATAAGTAATAGGCAATATTATATTACATATTTTATATGTAAATCAATGTTAACAAACATAAAAAGATCATTCTTTTCAAGTTTGTTAAGAAATACCTCAGATAAATAAACTAATTAATAAACTATTAATAATAGTTTCTGCAAAATAATATTAATAAAATGTTGTGTTGGATCT